GAACACTTTTGGGTGCTTTTCATTTTATTAATCAACTTACTAAGTACTTAGATACTAAGATACTTACTAAGATATGTACTTAGAGGTAGTTTTCACTCTCAAGCTTCGAAATCCCGCGGTCGACGGGGCCGCAAATATTGCGTTGCATAAAAATGCCCAAACGTGCGTTGTCGTCAACGTGTTAAGGAACTACTTCTAACGCTCTTATGGTTGGTCGGTCTAGGGTAGTAGCTTTGCTCTGATTATTTTTTTGTAACCTGTCGTTTTTGCAGTCGTCCACCAAATCAAATTATCGCAAAATTGGCTTAGACCAGGACTCGAACCGGGACCCATGCTTTCGAGTATCGAGCTTAGCAGTCATATTATCAAGGGTTCTCGTGTAGATTACTCATTGATGATACCCTTATGCTAACCTGTCCATCGGAATGTGTGGTAAAGACAATTCTCGGTCACTGGGAAAAAGACTAAAAGTGATTACCCGGTAGTCTAATTTTTCGGGTTTCGATAGTGTAATGGATAAAGATGATAGCCAGAATGACCGGCCCGAGTTGGAATCCCGTTCAAATAACACACATCCCATTGTAACTCACTATCTTGTGCTGAAAACAATAGAACACAATCCATCGAGTGTGACAATGGGAAAACGCCTTCTACAAAAATTGTAGGGGCAAACGACCGTACTGCAGTCTGCTTAAGTATGTAAAAACCAGTGTTTTATTCTCCCCGACAAACCTCACAGAGATAAGCATTTTCTAGAGAATACAATGAATGCTTAAGTTTGAGCGGGGTCTGGTAGAAAGGTACGGAAGGTACTGGAACACCTTAGGTGAAATGCCTAACCCGTTGATTGTATCTTCGAGTTCTATTTTTTTCAATTTTTCCTATGCCTTAAAAACTGACCTCGTTATAAAGCCAATGATCTTTCCTTTATGCACACATTCCGCTGTGAATCTTCCCGGCATGTCAAGGCTATCACTCACTTGCAGCGTTGGAATAAGAACTTCATCGACTCCCAGGACCTAAACAAGGATTTTCTTATTCCAGTCTTGCGGGTAAATGAAGATCTGGAAGCTAGTTCCTCCTCTCAAACTGCAGCTTAGAATTACCATTGATGAACGTCCTACTATCACTTAAATAAATCAAAACACGAGGGAAACCCACGTTAAGATCAAGTTGCTCGAATGTTTTTGTGAGATCTACAGTGTTCACCATCCAATTGACTGCAGCCCGTGACAGTGACGCATGGGCTGCTCCTCGCGCAAACGTCAACGACGCATTTCTTTGGGTTGGCTTCGTATCCTTCTCTGAATTCGTTTATTAAAGCAGCAAAATGTAAATGTGAAAGCATCGCAATGATTGTTTTTTAGTTTTCTTAGGAATAAATAGAAGGGGTCGAAAGCATACCATTTCTAAAGAAGTTCAGTGATTGAGTATCCCATTTTAAGGAATGATTATAACGATAACTTTCGCATGGTCTCACGTGGACATCATTTGCTCCACCGAGTTTTTGCAGAATTGATACGGTCTCATAAACACTTTTGATCATGATGTCGTAGTTCTGAAATCCANAATAGCTGAGAGAGAACTCCAGATCCTCCTTGTAAGTGGTACCTGCATGAGCATTACATATTCCCAGCCGGTATATGCCATAAGTGCCTTCAAACATTCGAAATGAGCCCGAGTCCCGTTGATTCCTGTCCTTCCAATAGAGTATCGCACTAAATTAATTGTTTATAAAACAAATTAATATGCTATAAAGAATTAAGCATTCAAAAAGTTCGGCTCTCCTTCATGAAAGCAAGTTAACCAGAAGGAAAGTTCTAGATTTTGAGGATAAAGTACCTGTATATCAAGATCAACTAACTGGTAGGAACTAACACATTGGGCAGGCATTTTGAAAGTTTTTCAATCTTCTGCGTGAAATCTTCCTTCGCTTTGTAATCGATAGCATAACAGAACACGTTTTGTGGATGATAACTCGATCTGAGTTCTTCTTCTATCAGTTCATAGCTCTAGAATAAGTATTTAATTACTGTAATTAGATACAACATAAGGAAGTGTGGTAGGGTCAAGCGAATTTTCTTCCGTACCGTGCGAAATCGAAGAATCAAATCCAATATCGACTGCGACCTAACTTTTTGCTCCCTTGAATACCCAGCCCCATGAAGAACACTCTACTCGTCTGAGACTGTAGCGACACTGACTTGTAACTCAATAGGTCCCTCTAGAATAGTGAATAGGCCGAATACGCATCTAAATACTACAGCGATTCTGAACGGAATTCAAAAGCATGGTTACCTTCTGAAGTAATAGGACGGGATTAAAAGGCGTTATGGATCCTGACCATTCAAACTCAGATCAAATAAAATTGCTTCTACCTCATATACTATGCGTGCATGAGCCACGCCAAACTGTAATGTCTGAAGAGGCTTCGGGGGAAGAACACGTGCTCGAATATCCTCACAGCTCATAGAGCGGTTCTGATCCCTGAGTTCCACACGTGACGATGCCAGTCCTCTGATATGACCACTTTGCTGAACAATTTCTTCATGGGAGCGGTCAAAAACTTCCCTTTTTTTGAAAGTCGCCAACCTTGTCGTCATGTAGAAGTCTTCCACAGTCAATATGAGATGTTCTAGCGTTTCGTGGGAAGCGTACACCCAGCTGCTGCCGATAGTGTTGGACCTACAGTAAGAATCCCCCAGTATCCAGTACGTCCCAAAAGTGATCAAATACTCACCGCATTAAGCAGATCCTTTTCATAGTAATGGTAGTCGTCGTTGAAGCTTACCTCTGTGCTCCTGTTCTTCTTTTCACATATTTCTGAAAAAAATTACGCTATTGGTCTGATCTCAGCTTTTTATTATAAATAGACTTGTCTTATAATTTTTAGCAACCTCTTGTGTTGCTGCTTCACATGCGTCATGTAGAATGATAGCTTTCAAGATAATAATTTTTGCTTGATCTGATATCAGGCTCTTTTCCATAAGGCTTTCTTTGGAATTCCACTCATAAAACGCTATGAAATACTAATTATTCTATATTACCATTGGTTATCATTAACCATTACTAATAATAAAACATTCTGAGGCCAAACGTCAAAGTTCCATGAATACGAATCCGCTTTTGAATGTATATTTGCAGCAAAGTAGAGGGGTTTTTTGGCTATATCTTTTTTTCGCTTTTTTTATGGTTTCTGTTTCATCCTTTCATGGTTATAGTCACGAAGTATAACAGGGAGGAAAGTAAGAAATAGTTTTTTTTTNTTTTTTTTTACTAAAAACAACAGCTATTATCATGTTGCTGGTGAATTGCGCTTACATATAACTTCAGCTTTCGGAATTTTCATGGCTGCAATTGAATTGTTGAAATTTATCTTGATTAGCACGCTTCTCCACAATATCTCACGGTTTGCAACGCTTTAAATTTGCGGAAGTTCTTGGAAGCAACGATATTCAGGAGGTTATAACTAATCATTACTAATGTAGTGAGGACGGGGTGTTGACGACGAAGGGAATATTTGATTGGAATGTCAGTCGCTCCCCACAAAATTATATCAACTGTTGACTTGAATAATCTGACTGCTTTTGCGACAAGCACACTCTACATTGAAATGTAACGTTCACTACAAAACTGCTAAACACGTCCTCTCTTGGATTTATTGAATGGCAGAGAGTGTCGATACCAGTTTTTGAGCCCTTGATACTTTCAGGCAGCTTTTCATCCCATCACTGCCCAAAAAGCCTGTAGATTACTACGAATAAGTAATATCCAAAACAATTTTTATCTATTGCTGTATTTCGGAGCTGCCAGCTGCGGTTCTGCGCGAGATTGGAAGTGTTGTGGTTAGCTATAGTGCCAGAAAAGTATACATAGGGTTTTATCTTCACCAGACACTGGATTTTTTTTTACTAGCAAGTGAATGTCTCAGATTTACTGTTACTATATGAGGTTGGATCCCATCCTAGAGTAATCATTCCAGCCGTAGGCAGCCATCATTGATAGGTAGTCGTCATCAATGTTCTCAACAGATATCTACATACATCGCAGTTGGAACTTACTAATGAAAGAACGGTAATAATATTCAGTCGAGATCCAGAATATAATAGTAGCACCGTATAGGATAACAGCGACTTTAATCAGTAGGAGGGCAAACGCCTTAAACGAAGAATTTTTGGTCAGAGCCATTTTTGAAGTCTTCGGATGTTGCCAGTTATAACTGTCAACGGGATTCCAATAAAGTATTTGATCAGAAGGAATACTCAGAGGCCTGAACCAAAGCTGCAAAAGTCGGACTTCTGCTGATTATTGGAGCCTCCGTGTGGGGCGCAGTAAGCAGGAGGTTACGAGAGACATTTTCAGTGATAGCAACGACATGATTTCAATGAAAATGGTGCAGTTATCTATGTAACTGAAAAAAGAATTACTCTGAAAGGCAGTAGAGTAGCCTAAGTCAATGGGACACGATGTTGAAGTGATCTCAAAGGGCTGTAGAGATCGTTTACGTAGCGCATCGTAACCATTTTCGCATATGGCTTATCAAGATCAGCAATGCTGCTTATCGGTTTTTGAGCTGACC